CGCAGTTGCAAAGCTCTTTATTAAACGTGCCCAAATCAGCTCCCCCAGGTAACAAGCCAGAACAGAGAATAGATTTAGTTGCTTCAGCTCCATTGACATTGCAGTTTTGGCAGCTCCTTTCTGCCAGCAAAACTCAAGAGGTGCTGCCGAAGCTCAGAGTGGGAAGTTACCTGCCAGCTGTGAAGCTAAAGGAAAATGGGAGCAGCCACGTTAGGAAAAGCTTTAGCATAAACCTTCCCAGCTTCTCCTGGCGCCTGAAGAACACGAGTCAACCCTCAGCTTTAATGTCTTTTTCAGAAGATAACACAGGGAGGGAGCAGGGAGCCTCTGCAGCCAGTGCCTGCCCACACACAGCCACGTCCTACCCCAGGATAACCCCTACACCAAGTGACAACACCTACAGCTCACTGTTGTGTGGACCCCCTGGTGCAACCTGGCACCAAGATGAGGTCTGGCTCACCGTCTTGGATGTTGGATACAGCCAGAGCTGGGCAGAATTGTTTGCCCATGGGCAAGCACGTTCCCAGCACACACAGGGCTGCAGGTGCTTGGCTGCCCGAGCAGGCAGGTTTACTCAGGGACATTGAAGAGGGTCAGGCAACACTACAACACCGGTGGCACTTTAAAGTCAAGAGGATCAAGGAGGCTGCCAAAAGTCTTTGTTTTTGCCAGTTCTGTTGGCACAAAGATCAAGAAAGAATAGGAAAAAAACAGAAAAACCACCTAGCAAGCAACTCCTTGAAGCCAAGAGCTCCTTGACTCACGCCAGCAGTTGCACAAGTGCCCACAATACCTGGCCTGACATCGACAGGCTCCAGCACAGAGCCTTGAAGCCAAGAGGACAGCAAGAAAGCAGAGGCAGAGTGGAGTTGTAAGTGGGGTTGTGCACAGGGGTAACCCCCAGCAGGAGCCTACCCAAATGAGCTCAGATGGACTTTCCTTTCCCATGCTAGTTTCAGCAGTGCCCAAAACTTTGAGAGAACCAGCTCAAGAGAGGAAACTCTACAAGGAAAACAAGCAAAAGGTAGACACAAAGGGAACCAGAGCTAGAAGAACTCGCAAGAAACTGCTCTCATAAAAGCCTGATGGTCATCTGTAACCAATCTCAAATCATCCCTGAGCTCTCTGCATCTCACACAGACTGGAAAATCACCTCCCCAAATCCACCTGCTTTGCTAAGCAATGACAGGACAAAGCCTGGAAAGAGCACTGGAGTGACTCAAAGCAAACAGCAAGACAAGCTGTGCTGAGCTCTCAGCTAAGGCAGGGAGATGCTTTACATATTTCTTTTGTTTTTAGCTGGTTCTTGGTGGAACATGACACCACCAAAGCTGCCTGCGTAGCTCCACACGCTCCCTTATATACACACAGGCTCTTCCCAGCACCGGCACGGGCTCTGCGCCCCAGCCCCGCTCAGGTTACCGGGTGCAGACAGTCGGGGTGTGCTCAGACACCTTCCCTCTGCTCAGTGGTTTTGGACTGACACAGTTTTCTGTCGTGATGCATGGGAAGGAGAACTGGGGAAAGCACACAGACCTGGATCTGCACCTAAAACACTCCCAGGTCCATCCCCGGGATCCTGGCACTCTGCTGAGGTTCCTATCCAGAAGGGGAAGGAGATGTGGTCCTGGGAGAACCCAGGGCACGGTGAGCTGGTACCCAGTGGCTGTCACCCCGATTTCCCAGCTCATGACAGCACTGGCAGACCCCTGACCTAGTGACCATGGTGCCAGCAGGGACAGAGCGAGGGCAGGGCGTGGGGTCAGAGCCGGTTCTACACGTTGTTGGCTGTGTATTTTTAACGCTGCTTTGACTCACAAGGCTCTAAAAAGCACACGGATTCTCCAAATGCTTTTTAGCTCCTCCACCAAACACCCCCAGAGCCCAGAATAGCCCCATCTTCTTCTATTCCCCTTTGCAGAAAGGTCCTTGTTGCAGCCTCCCCAGGAAAGCCAGATCTGCATTTCAAACCCACGGGAGGGAAGCGAGAGCGGGGCAGTGGGTTTGTTTACAGGCACAGACCCAGCGTGTGGAGAGGCTGTTGGAAGTTCTCCTTGGCCCTGGGGCTGTCCCTGCTCCCAGCCCCTCCACCCACCTCTCCTTGAGGCTCCAAAAAAGGATGGTATCCCTGTTACATAACGGGATGAGCTCCCCACGGATGTAGGCATGTGCACATGGCCTCCCTTTTACTTAACAAGACCTTTTTGGGTCATGCAGCCTTCCTCTCCCCGACTGCCATCAAACTGACAGTCAGAGGAGATGGATAATGCCTGACTCCAGTTATTCCAGCTATGAAGAAGGAAAAGAGGAGTGTGGTGGGATGCTCTGTGCAGAGTAACTGCAGATGGAGAAGAGTAGGGAGGTCCCATAATGATCAATGGTGTGGTCAGTCGCTGTTACTACAGAGGATGCTGTGGGCAGCACATGCCCAAGGGAGAAAGTCCCCAAAGGAGAAGGAGATTGGCTCTCTGGAGAAGCTGGACCTTGTTCTTGGTGTTTTTCTGGTGATTCTTCTGCTCTGGCACAAGGAACACTTGGTAGCAATGCCCATGAAGGCAGCTGGGAGAAGGCTGGAGGAGCAGCATGTTACTCACCAAACACAAACTGGTAGAGGATCACCCAGCAGCAAGACCCTTCCTAACACCCACAACACTGCTGAGACACCTCCTTTCCATCACCCACCACCTAACCAGCCACTGACAGGGACAGAGAAGGACCTCACCACTTGAAGAGATGGCTCCTAATCATACTTTGTGACCAGTAACAGTTAGAGACAGGATGTGTGCCCACCTGCTGCCCTGTGTTTGCTTGTTTTCAGAGGTGGGAACAACGATGCCCTGAACAGCACATGCTCCCAGAACAGCTTTTGGTACCTTCTCCACCTGTAAAGGGTACCCAGACACAGAGCCAGCCAAAAAGCCAGTGCCAGGGCTGTGCCAGGTCTGGCTGAGCAGCCATCAAGTTGCAAATACTTAAATGGAAAAGAAATGCCACCAAATCCACACTGTGTTCCTGGACAAGCAGCTGGCTGCAGGTCTGAGCTAGACACTTCTTGATCTGCTCAGGACAGCAGTGGTCACCTGGGCCAGCCATGAGGACAAGTCTCAGCCACCCTTCTGCGTGGCTCAGGGCGCAATGGCAAGCTAGCATGAAGCCCCCGCCCCATTTCCAATTCTTCTCCACTGCAGAGGTACCTACAAACCTCATCTTGAATGTCCATCTTGGACATTGTCTGAGCTCTGCTCTCACACCAGATCACAGCTTTCACAACAGGCAAACCCCAAATGCTCTCAGGGCAGTTCCTGCACCCACTGCAGCAGCACCCTGCTGAGTCCCAGCACTCCACAAGAGCTTCCAGGATCAATAAAAACCTGCCTACCTCAATTTGAGATAGGAGAACCTCCACTCTCTTTCAGGATACCTAAGTGCTGGCCTTCTGGGTTGGGTTGGCAGGTACAGCAGCAGAAACAAGGGAGGGAAGCTTTCCCTGCAGCAATGCATGAGCAACACCATCCAGCTGGCAACAGGTCAGTTCACACTGACTCCTTCTCCTGTCCCGTTCACACCAGAGCTGCAGACCCCTGACTGCCCCAGAAGAGCAAGAGCCAGCACCAAGATGTGGATTTCAGCAGACACGTACAGAACCAGGGACACAGGGTTAGCTTGAAATGTTGTGTTTGCACACTGCTTTTGATCATGACACCAAGGAACCACAGGACATCCCAACATCACCTCCAGCCCAAGGTTTGCCTGCAGCACATGAAGGTTCACCTGGATTCTTTGAAGCAGAGCAGCTACAAACACATTCACCCTCAGGCTGCTCCACTAGCACAACTTGAGGAGCTCCTCCACCTTCCAGAGCCAGGCACGTGCTGTGTCTATGACAGCTTCTCTAGTGGAAAATACCAATGCCACGTGTCGGTGCTGCAGGCTCCCTGGGTGACCAGGACACAGCTTATTAGGAGATGATGACGTGGATCTTCAAGCCTTCATACCTCTGTGCTTACACACAAGGATTGGATTCCAGCTCATTCCCCAAAAGACCAGAGCCCATTTTGGAGAAATGGGAGCAACACCCACCTCCTCCCACTCCAAGAAACAGACTCAGGAGTGATGGCCAACAGTCCCTGACCTCAAAGAGCTTCAGCAACCTCTGCTGAGGGCAACTTAAATTACCAGCCGAGTTATAATACACCAGCCTACACATTCTGACACTGGCTTTGAATGTCTGCAAGAGAAGAAAGGGCACAGGAGTGGGGAAAGCACTGCTCTGAGGCTCCCCCTAGCCAAAGTCCTTCCAGGAAGGCTTTCATTTTACTCTAAAGGAGTGTATCTTCAGCTAGTGATAGTCACCAACCTGCACAAGCAAACAGAAATGCTCTCTGTTTGTGTGTCTTGGCCTAGTGCCTTCCCACACAGAGGCACTGGCCCCAGAAAAGCTTGGCAAGTACATACCAGCTGGAAAGGAAATCTTTCCCTGATACATCTGTGGGTCAGTGCCCAAGGCACAGGCACTGCCAGCCCACCACAGATCAGAGAAGGGTGCATCAGCACAAGCAAAGGCCCTGGGAAGCTGCACTCCAGGCTGTTACTTGACAAGTTGCTGTTCCCTGTGCCTGTTTATTCTCTTTTTGTAGAAAGAACAAGCTGAGCTCTTGGGCAGCAAGAGACCTGGAAGCCAGCAGAGGCCAGTCTCTCCCTGGAGAGCCAAGGAGCTGGGCACTCTTGGAGGCAAGAAGCCTCCCATTCCCAGGACTGGATCCTTTCTTTCCCCTGTTGTTGAAGGACAAGAGGCATTCTGCTGGAGTTATGTGGCTGCTCATGGAGAAAACAGTTCCTACTGCAGATCACCGAGATGTTTACTCTACATAAATGCAACATCATCTTTACAGAACCTTGTTTGATGCAATGGAAAGCATTTATCTGCATTCAGGCAAGAGCTCTGTTTTTAGACTGCCACTCCAAAGGCAATGTGCCCTCACAGAGCTGTGAGCTCTTACCTTTGAATGAGGGTCCCAAAGAGCAGGTTGAAGACCTTCTGGATGTTCTCTGTGCACAACCAGCTCCAGTGATCCACCAGCAGCAGACGAAGCACATCCAGGGCCAGGTCAGCCAAAGCTGTCTCAGAATCTGCCAGGAGGAAGAGGAAGGTCAGATGAAGAAGCCATCTCAGCACCTAAGCAAACTTGGTAGAAAGCATCATCCAAAACTCACTCTTTTCCCCCAAAAGCTTGCTTTGGTGCTCTTCTCCCCAGTCTAACACCGTGTGCCATATGGAGATGACCTGCTGCAGCACAACCAGCCTGGGGAGCCTGCACTCCCCGGGCTCCTGCCTTGATCATTCCCTTTCATTTCCACTCTCATTCAAGCAGCCCTAACCTCCCTACCAAGGGGTGCATCAGACCAGAACGTGGCTGCTCCAAATGCCCAGTTGCTTTTCAGTTAATCCAAGGGATTATCAAACCCCAGTCGATGCGCAGGGAAGGCAGAGCACCCAAAACAGGTGACAAAGACAGCAGTGACTGTAGCCAGGAGAAAGATACAATGCTGAGGACTATTTTCTGAGTTTTCACCAGCACTTTCCCCTCTTCCAATGTGCAGTTTTTCAGGCACAAGCCTCTGGTTGGTGTCTGCAGGCTGCCATCGTGTGGTAGGTCCAAGTCTTAACGGGAAGATGGATAAAACCACATCTGGATAAACCAGATGCATCAGTTAAAGACAATAACTCACACATATACCCACATATGCCCCAGTGACACAGACCTGGGACACCAAAACCTCTCTGAGCCTCAGGAAGATGTCAAAGCCTACAGCATAAACACATTCTACTTGATAGAGGATTAATTTTAGGCTGTTTGGCCTTAAAGCATCATAGGTGTAGTGCAGAACGAGGTTATTAACGCACCACAAACCTGTCTGACACAACCACTCCTAGGCCAGCACCCCAACCTGAGGTTGCTGCATCAGCTCTGTCAGCAGAGTGAGCTCCTGTAGTGCAGCTTCTCCAACACCTGATCTTTCAACCACTCTCTGTCTAGAGAAATGAGACTGTTCACACCCAATTTACTGCTGGAAATAAAAAGGAAAGGGATTCTGGACCCTAGAACCTCCCCTTCCCTCCTCTTGCTTTCCCTGTTGCAGATAAGCTGGACTAATTAAGTCCAGGCCATTTCATTTGGAAAAGCCTCATTCAGGCCAGGCTGGATGAGGCTTTGAGCAACCTGGTCTAGTGGAAGGTGTCCCTGCTGATGGCAGGGGGGTTGGGACTGGATGATTTTTAAGGTCCCTTCCAACCCAAACCATTCTATGATTCTGTGAAAAGAGAGGGCATGAGTGCATTTGGCACCTCTTGCTCTGGGCCATGCGTAAGTTACTCCTCATTTGCTTTGCCCTTTGAGACTTCCCTGTGCAGAAACCAGAGCAAGCTGTTTAGCTTCACTAACCCCATCCCAAGCACATCATCAGCAAGCTCTGTTTATTCTCCCAGCATCCAAGTCCCCCTTCCTTAGAGAGCTGCTGGCCAACCTCTTCTGAGAAGTCACCCAGTGAGCTGATACGGACACTGGTTGTGTTTTTAGCCAGCTGCTCCCCAGACATTTCATTCCCCTGACCCTGCCAGACCAGCCTGCCCTGTCTCAGCTCTGAAGCATCACAGACCTGCAGGCATTTGACATCATTCACCTTCAATTTCTTTTAAGAGTTCAGCTAACTTGGCCTGCCTGTATCTCTTCTGCTCTGTGCAGAGCACTGGCTTTCACTCCCCAGCAGCCCCAAAACAACCACAGGCGTGTGTTCAAAGATGTAGAGGCAAAGCTGGTAGCACAGGCTAGGTTTCAGAATACCAGACCCATCCTGTCACAAGCACGTGCTTTCAGTCAGAGCTTGTCAAATTTGAAGCACTGGAGTGAAATTTTTGGAAAGTTCCAGTTGATACAGCTCAGCTATTCCAAGAAAAAGATGAGAGAACGTGTTTTTGCTTGTGTTCAGAATCATCTTGTAACTGAGAGGCTGTAGCACCCCTAAACTTCAGAGGAGGGATCAATAACCAGAGTGGGGATGTAATTCCTTGAACTGGGATGACATATTTGCTATTCCCGCCAAATCTGTCCAAATTTAACTGAATTTCAAAAGGTCCTTCTATAGTGCATGGACATCTCAAGGCTAACTTGAAACTACTAAGTAATTTGGATTTTTTTCAGTTCCTAAGAGCTTGTTTTTATAAGATTGGCAGTTGAAGCATTGTGTCCTCAAGAAATTTATTTCTGCAGGAGCTGTTCTGAGTACACTCAGGTGAAAATCTGCAGTGACACAACCAAGCCCCAGTTTGCTTCTACTAACAATAAAGACCAGAGCAATCACTTCACAGGACTGGATAAAACTCACTTTGCCTTCCCTTTAATCAAGGTGCAACAGGCAAGAGACCAGATCCTCATACTGAAGATGGTGCAAGCTGAGCCTGCAGATGTTGGGAGCTGCTGCAGTACCCAGGGAGATGTGCTGAAGCACTAACAGAGAGGCTGAGCTCACCAGAGTCTGTGTCTGCGTGTGCTCCCTGCTCCGACGCATCCACCCGGTCCGTATCCTCCCGCATGGAGCCTTCTTTAGCCTCTCTGCCTCCCTCACCTTCGGGAGCTTTGCTGGGGATTGTCTCCAGCAGCTTCTCCTGCTTCTGGATGAAGGATTCCATAGCAGCCAGTGACAGAGTGCCAGAGACCTACAAAAGTACCAGAGCAGGGAGATGCACACAGCCAGAGCTGAACAGATGGATGAGGTCTCCACTGCCCAGACAGCCTCCCACCACCACCTGGTTTGCACTTTGCTTGAGCCAACAGCACAACTACAGCTGCTTATTGTCTTTCTGCAAAGATCCAGCAGACAGGAACAAGGCTGCAGCAGCCACAACCCTTGTGCACATGGATTATGCCAAGCCAGCACCCAAACAGGGCAAGGATCAGGATCATGGAATGATTTCAAGTGGAATCTGAACTTACAGCGCCGCCCTCCCTGATGGAGTACACGATCCTGTCATGAGCTCCGCTCACACTCAGCACTGGAGCAATTTTAATGGATGAAAACCTCAGCCTGGACCTGAAGAGGAGAGACATGGCACAGTCAGGGTTTTTCTCTGCAAGCTGTGAGCAATAAAACTAGTTTCCCAGCCTTAGTCAAGAACCAGGATCAACTATTTTGGTCCAGCATCACGTTCCAGCCTGTCTGATTAGACCTAAAGTGGTTCAAAAAAGCATCTTCCCCCAGGATAACTGAGAGGTGGCAATAAAACCACACAAAAGCACTCAAGAGCTTTTCTGCAACTCCACATGGGCCTAGCCAAGGCTTTCCAACATCCACCACATACATACACCTTCTTCAGAAGGTGTGTTCCATGCTGATATAGGTATTTCTATTCACTGAGGTGTGAGCATTGCAGTACACACAGGAAAGTGATCAGAAAAGCCTCTGAGATGAAACATTCCCAGCAGGATTGTGAAATCCAACTATAAACAAGCACACACAGACAGGAGGCTATGAAAGGGCATTTGGGATTGTGGGATGAATTGTAAAATAGCCTGTTTATCATTAAGGAATTTCCTTTTCAGCCAAGATACTTCAAAACTTGTACTTTTTTGGTTTGCTTTTTTTGTCCAAAGCAGTTTTTTCTAGCAAAACATCACTCTTCTGGAAAAAAAAAAAAGACATAGTTGTGCAGAAACTTTCTCTTGCTCTGTGAGGGAAGAATCACTGATGAGCACAACACAGCTCATCACTGTCAGCAACATCAAATAAACACTTGGTAAGCAATGTACGTGCAATGACCTTAAACACTGCTCCTAAATCAATATGCAAAGTAGATCAGTTATAGCTATGTATAGGTCATGCACATGTTTAAGGTTAAAAAGCAGTTCTCCAGAAGCATCAAGATCTTTGCCAAATGCCACCACCTCATAGCTCCCTCAGGAGAAAAAAAAACAAACAACAAACACCTCCTGTGACAATCTGAGTGTTCCTGGAAAACCCTTTACCCATCCAGGAACTGAAATATCCTTATTGAGCATGAAAGAAATAATTCAGCTGGAGTACGACAGCAACGTACAACCTACAGCACCAAGGTAGCAGTTCCCCATGATGGAATCAGTTTATGTATGAAGTCCATGTTCTGCATGAAGCATGAGAGGAAGTTGAGGGAGATCTCACCTGTTGGTTTTCTTCCCATCTGTCTGAGATTTCCCATCCACTTCAGACTCGCTAAGATCCTCCGTGGGGCTCTGGGGCTCTGATCTGGGAAATGCTGTCTTCAAGGTGTCCACAATGGCATTGACAACGATCTGCAAAAGCCAGAGTGCTGTCAATTATTCAATATATTCCTATTCCTTCCATAAGAATTAAGTTTTCAGACTTTTGCTCTATTTTTTAATAAAAAGCCCAAGTTCTTTGAGATGGGCTCTGACTCTTCCCAGCTTTATAGTTTCCTGGGCAAGCTGAGCCCAGTTACAACAGGTTTTTAGGCTGCTACTGCAGCAGCCAGAGATGCAGACATGGAAGCCTGAGGCACGTCTACATGCAGCTGTAAATGGTGCAGATAACCAGTTTCACAGAATCACAGAACGTCAGGGATTGTAAGGGACCTGGAAAGATCATCCA